GCCAGCGAAACCAAAGCAGCAGCCAAAGCAGAAGCAGAAGCAGAAGCAGGGGTAGGAACAAGAATACAAGAAGCTCCAGCCAAAGTAGCATTGGTAGCTCGAGCTCTCGCAGCGTTTCCAGCGCTAGCAGATCGCCCAAACATGACCGGGACCGTCGAGATCGCTCGCGGGATAGTCATCGCAGCTAGTCGTTGCTTTCGTGCTATAACGCCTGGAGTGCACTGCTCAGACTCTAGAGATGGATCAAAGTTCCGTATCGAATATAGTGACGACTGTGCGCAACATGCCTGCTTTGAAGTGTATGACGGATTCCAGACGTTGCTCGAAGCAGCATGGTCAGTTGAACACTGTATGCTGGAGCTTCCGATGGAAGTACATACCGCCTGTGAAGAACGACAGGACTGCGGTAGCGGGATGGTCTAAGGTCTCCATCGCACAGCGTCCACGAAGCGAAACGAGACATCGTATCTTTGAACCGGGGTTGTCGTTCGTTTCTGGATCTTGAATGCTCAGTCATCCACCATGACCAAGCAGTGTCCAAGGATAGTGTGGTTGCCTTTGAATGCCTCTTGGAAGCAAAGAGGAATACCCATCGAGCCCACAAAGGCTTGGGCTCGCCAAACATCTTAAACAATCCCGCCACCACCAGATGCTAAGGACCCGATCATACGACGATCGACTCGCTCGGCTCGACTGCCCTGATGCCAAGAAACCACAGAGCTGTCCGGATGATCCAATGGATATCGAATCTCAAGACCATGCTCACCCAAAGCAACGACAAGCAGCATCGAATTGTGGGAAACCGCTGATGATATTTCCCCATGTCGTTCGAAAAAAACACAATGTGGACTACGTTGAAGCAAAGCCTGCTACAGTCGGTCCAGAAAGAAACGGGACAGTCACTTTCTGGCCTCAGCTATCTGAAGCCTGCCGAACTTCCGTAGGCCCCAGTGAGCAAGCCGTGAGATTGTTTCCCGTCCTGGTTGGCAATCGAGTGGTTTTGGTTGGTTTGGGAAGCATGGTCTTGAATACACTCGGTCGATCTCCATGGGTGATGATCGACTGGCATACCGAGATCATATTCCTTGAGGCATTGATGTCTCGATCCCACAGCGTATGGCAGCTTGCACAGTGCGGGAATCTCGACCACGGGGGCTGGGAAGGCAGTGTCGTCACTGGACTCGTCTAGAGGGGGTGCTTGACTGACCATTTCAGCGACCGAGGCAGAGCCAGAGGCAGGGCTGCTGTCGACTCTTGGCTGTGCACTTCTTGGTGAAGGGTCTGACGTGGTTGGTCAATCCACAGGAGGGACATGATTTGATGGTTGGTTTCTTGGCCACAGGAGAGTCACTGGGTGATCCTGGGTCGGGGTCGGGGGGTGTCTTTCTCTTGGGAGCCATCTGGCGAGAAAATAGCGACGATGGCTGGTTCTGCCCTTGGGGAAGAGTGAGTCTCCTCAAAACCAGCGCATTTTGGGCTGGCAGATGCTCACAATGGCGTCCTTGATTCAAATCACAGAATGGTCATGGCCAGCGCGCGATTGTATTGGGTAGCAAAATATTTAATCAATCGTCAAAATCATGGGTGTCCCGTTTTTTATTGGATTGACTGCTAAACGTCAGAAAGGGCCTCCCTCGCACGCTCAATAACGGCCCTCGATGAGCCGCACCGACAAATGGGCAGCGAGCACTTGATCAGGGACATTCCATCCCAGTTGCACCTCACTTGTGCCCTTCGATAAGGGACACGATTCGGTCGAGAGGTCTGCCCACGACGGCCTTCTTGAGTTCGTGATCAACGACGATCGGCCGTTGGAGGCGAGCAGGATCTTCATCCAGAAGCGCCAAGAAAGCATCGACGGAATCCAGGGTGGCGTTCTCAACCTGCAGTTTGGCTTCGGGAGCGAGGTTCTCGGTACGGATCGCAAGACGGAGATCGTCAATGTCCATCTGCGAAAGGACGGCTCTGAGGGTCTGGCGATCGACGGGGGTTTCCACATAGTTGATCAGGACAAACCGACCGGGAATGGTTTTCTGCAGATACGATGAACATCCCGCTGCTTTGGAGCAGGTGGGGTGGTGGTAATAGGTGTATCTGGCAGTAGACATTGTGCGGGAGGTGCAGATCGCAGGCAGCAGCGAGATGAACGACGGTCTCATCCAGAAGCCAAGCGGGATCCCACAGGAAATGCGTCTCGATGACGCGCTGACATCTGTCGGGCTGACATTGGCGAGGGCGCGTGGCCGGGGTCATCACCCCAACGAAGGCAGGGGGATCAACGGACGGCAAACTCAATGGACAGGGTCGATTGACAGAGTCGATGGACAGAGTCGATGGACAGGGTTGATGGTCCCATCGAGTCATCTGCAGGCAGCATCTGCGAGTATCATCTGCGAGTGTCATCTGCGAGTGTCATCTGCGAGTATCATCCTCCGCGACTGCGATTTACTCGACTGCGGTCCCCTCCACTGGTCACCCGACGCAGCCGGACGGCACACCGAGGCAAGCCCCGGCCCAGAACAGACCCGAACAGACCCGAACAGGACCAGCCCGGCCAGAACAGGTCTGCCCAGACGGCATCCACCTGGGTTTCCTCGCTGCGGCTGCCTCGCTGCGGCTGCCTCGCCAAGGGTGGCGACGATCCACGTGTAGCCAATTCCAGCCAATGGCAGCCGGCGAGCGGTTTGTGCCGGAAGTGGTCCCGAACTGCTTCCAAAGTGGTCTGTCACAGGTCCGTCCGCAGGCTTGTTCCCCCTTGTCTGGTGCGCCACGCGCCGCCGCCACTGGCCCTCGTGACATGACCAACCACAGCGCCGCCGACCAACAGTCGCCATGTCTGCAAAAAAAAATGAGGGGGGTGGATGCATCGCGAGCGGCTCTGACCCGGCCTGGCATGGCCGGCTGGAGACAGGGATATAAATAGACTCCCTCCCTGGCTCGTCTCTCGGCCTCCATCGACACCGCCTCGACACCACCTCGACTCGAAAGCATCACCGCCCACAGTGTGCAATCCAGTCTGCAATCTGCAATCTGCAATCTATCACCACCAACACCAGCACCAACACCAGCACCAGCACCAGCACCAGCACCAGCACCAGCACCAGCACCAGCACCAGCACCAGCACCAGCACCAGCACCAGCACCAGCACCACAGTCTGTCCTCAAAATGGCCGCCAGCAACCTCGTTCTCATCCCCATCGACTCGATCTCTGAGCTCTCGCGAACCGTCATCCTCCACGCACTCAAGCACAGCGTGGTGGCCACCGACAATGTCGAGATTCTCCATATCATCAAGCCGTCGCTGTGTAAGTTGCGGGTCCCGGCGGTGCATGGAGTGTTGGTGCTGTGTGTGGCTTGTTGTTCTGTCGATCAGCGAGTCAGTCGGCCAGCCAGTCAGTCAGTCATCTAGTCAGTCATCTAGTCAGTCATCTAGTCAGTCATCTAGTCAGTCATCTAGTCAGTCGGCCAGTCAGTCGGCCACCCGGCCAGTCCTTCAGTCGCACTCACATCCTTCGCATGTCCCGACGCTGCCCCGTTCCTCTGTGCTTCCGCTCGTTTCTGCTTGCCTCCAGTCTCTGCCATGCAATGTGCATACGAACACCGCGAGATCGTCGAGGTCACCCAGCGCCTCACCAAGTTTGTCCAGGAGATTGTCCAAGCAAGCGGCGTCGCAAACAAGGTCTCGCTCAACGTGATCCATGGAGAGGCCAAGGGCCACATCATGATGGAGATCAGCGACCGCGCTCCGCGACTGGTTGTCATGGGTGCCCACCCACATGGCCCCCTCGCTGGCACTGGTGAGTTGGTGTGTGGTGTCTGTCTGTCTTTGCGGTGTGCCATGCTGCTGCGGTGCAGTGTGGCCTGTTGATGCGGTGCAGTGTGGTTTCTCTCGATCGGCGACTCCAGGATCGCATCAGAGCAATGCCGAGACTGGCCAATGTCGGCCACCCACTCCCACATCCACCCACAACCACTCCCACAACCACCCACTCACTGTGTCTGCTTCCATTGCCCGCACATCCCAACCGCCACCCCAACCACCCGTCTCGTCTCCCACAATCTGCAGGCAGCATCACCGGATATGTCTCACAGCGATCCCCGTGTCCCGTGCTGGTTCTGCCTCACTCCATCGCCAAGACTGCCGTCCCGATGGAAGGCAGCAGCAGCAGCATCCCGATTGCTGCCTGAGCGAGCACCGTCCCCGCACCGTCTCCAGCACCTTCTCCACCACCGTCTGCAACTGCGTGACCCAGTCTCTCTTGTCTCGCTGCTGCACTCTGTCCCGTCTGGCCTCGTTGCTGCGCCTCGTTCTCTCCCAGCCGCAACCCGTCGCCCACCTGCTCCCTCCGCTTCCTGCGTGCGCCTCTATATCCCCGCTATGTTCCCGCTATGTTCCCGCTATATCCCCGCTATGCTCCATCATGTTCTCGATGTTTCATGCGTGTTTGTTCTCCTTATTTATTGGCCGGCGTTGGTCCTGGATCTGTCGCCTCTGGCGGCGATGCGATCCCGACCCCGCTGTTCCCGGCCTCCTGTGCGATACCATTGCCATTGATTGCCATGGGCTGTCTCTGCCGTCCCTGTCCCTCTGCCATTGGCTCGATCTGCTTGAATACACACATTCGCAACCAACCTCGTCTTCCGGCGATATCGGATGGTGGTCCGAGTCCATTTGGCTCGCAATTCAAGGCAACTGACAGACTTGGATCCTTGCCTTGTTCAGTCCGCACTCAATACTCTCAAATAGACAGATACTCCATTGACAACAAGACATCTAGTCTGGGGGAGGTGCCCACGCACATGGACAGGACAGCGAGTCGTTCATGCCAGTACATGCGCTTTGGCGATCGACAGATTTAGCCATCCAGTTATCGCGGAGAGACCTGCATGTTCCAGCGAGCTATTCTCGCTTTGATCGCTCGCCACTCTTCCGACGATGTGGAGTGAAAATGGGCACGTTTGTGACGTCCGTTCAGGAATGGATCGCTGTGTACGCCCGCTCACACGGTAAACTCATCCAGCGTCCGCTGCCGATAGCCGCCGTTTCGACTTGGGTCCTCGAGCCGGCTGACTTTGACATCGCCACTATCAATGCCTTTGATGTAGCTTTTATAGATGCACGGGTAACCGTGAGAATGGTGTCAGCATTTCTATTGGCAAAGAATGCCGCGCATCATGCTGAACACCCACTCCTCACACACCGCCCTGGTACCAACCTCATATCTTGGGGGGTAATCAGTATGTACTGGCAGTGTTGCTTCTCGCGGCTACGGGCATAGTCGATCAAGAACTTCATGCTTATACGACGGTTGACGGCATCCTGAAGGGAGGACAAGCGTAGCATATTTAGAACGAGACGAATGGATTGCAGGATCCAAGCCCACTGAATGCGATCGGCAGTGTGGGCTCTGGATATGCCTCCACAACCCGGAGGAATGACGCACCATGAAAACATCGAACTCGTCCAGGCACCGGAACGGATTGGCCATGCCGTCCCATATGGAGAGAAGCAAGCAGATGGTCGAGAAGCTCTTTTCTCCTCCAGAGAGTGACTTGGGATCTTTGGATGTTGATGACTTGTTGCTTTGTGTCTCGGAATATAGGCTCTGGGCTTTGGCTTGGTCTTCGACCGACACCTAGATGGGTAGAGCAACACAGCAGGCAGTCAGCAACGCTAGGTTGGCTTTCCATGCCGCCGAGATGTTGTTTATGCACCGCGATGCTAAGCTCGGTGGAGCGATAGTTAACCAGCAGCACCCATTCGCGCCGCATACCCGCAAAAACAGTCCACCATCCCGGAATTCCAGCTTGCCGTCGTATCCGCGCTTCTTCATGATTTCTTGGAACAGCAGTTTGGCGCGCATGATGATGAATTCGCGGAAGGCAACGAGCGAAGAGGCACGGATTTCGACAGCAGACTCAATCTTATCCTGGAGTCCTTTGAAGTCCTTGATCTGCTTCTTGATGCGGTTGTACTGGGTCACCTTGGCTTCATACTGCTTCGACACAGCCTCCTTGTCGCCGTGCCTGGATAGGCAGCATAGGTGCGTGGTGACTTGTTGTTAGTTGCGACAAGGATACTACCCGAAAATGCTGAACCTGAGTGGTGGTGGGGCGACGGCAACAGATCCCGCGCAAGGCATCCCGACAACTCACCGCTTGGCCTGCTCAGTAGCAAGGGCTGCTACTCGCGAGATTTCCTTTTGGAGAACCTCGATGGTTTTGTGCGTAGTGATTCGCTTCTGGGTGATTTCAAGAGCAGTCTCCACAGCCTCGTCGATCTCACTCGACTGTTTGTCGTATTCGCTCTTCAGATTTTCGAGCTCGCGGGAAAAGTCCTCGATCTGCTCCTTGACCGTGGCAATGGTTCCCTGTATCTGATCTTGGCTCTCGAGGTAGGCGTTCAACTCTCGCTGTGTGGATGGCATTAAATGTCAGCCCCGCACATGTAGTCCTTGCAGCATAGCGGTGGGGGAGGGCTATCGGTGAAGCGATCGTTTGGGGGCTGATGACCAGTGCGACCTGTGTCATTCACTCGTTTGCGGCACCCACCTTGAGCTTGTTGACCTGCTCGTGATGCATCCTGTTCTCGGCGTTCAGCTGCTCGATTCGCTGCTTGATTGGTGTGTCCTTTGCGACCAGGTCCAGCCGCTGGCGCTCGACGATCGTGAGTTTTTCCTGGGACTCATCGAGCTTTGCCTCCAGGCTCTGGGACGCCAAATACGGCATATTATAAGGACATGTTAGCTAGCTGCATCACGAATCAGGGCCGATTCCATCGTCCCACAGCCACACATAGCAGAAGCGACAGTTACAACGACAACCCCGTGGCAGCCGTGAAGCCAACATACGCAGCCAATGCTGTCGCCGCATCTTGGGATCGAAAGCACAGCAGTGCTACTCACATCCAGTGTGTTCTGGAGGACATGGATTGTTCCACGGTTGGAGTCTTCAGAGAGTTCCGTCTGAAGATCGTCGATTCGCCGATGCAAGTTTGTACTTTCACGCCTCAGCTGGTGACTGTTGGTCTTTAAACAAAGGCGCACGTCAGCAAATGGTCGTGGCAAGACTAGAACTTGAATGATCATGGCTTTGACCATGAGAATGGACCCGGAACGAACCTCGAGCTTCTGCCGCTTCTTCTGGCGGTCATCAATCTTCACCGAGAGCGCAGTGATATCCATGTTGAGGGTCTCGAGCCGGTCTGCGCTCTCTTTGAGGGCATCCTGCTCGGCACTACGGTACGGTGGATCAAATCAGCGCGATTCACGCTGGGTTGTAGAATTCTTGGTACAAGCGATGCCGATTCTCGCGGCCCGGGATAGGGACTCACCGAATATCAGACTCGATGTTTGTAACAAGCCGCTTGGCCCCTCTCCATCGGTTGAGGGCAAATGAGCCCTCCATGCCCTTCTGACCACACTCGTACAGGTCGCGTCGATCGTAGATCCTCCGGACGTTGTGAGGCATGCCGTTAAAGTGCGCAATCATGTCCAAGCCCTCGACACGGGAGTTGACCAGCGCGATACTCTCGATATTGTGGTTGACCACTAGACACATGAGTACAACCGGATTGGTAATCTGTTGTTTCGGAAAGGGGTGGGACGCTTCAGTGGGCGGCGGCCTGAGCGGCAGACTCGGGCAGAATGCAAGGGCACAGCCACGCCGTGGACAAGAGCCTGGCGAACATCTCGGCATCCGGCTGGTTCATAACGGCATTCGCTGGCTGGGAGCGACCCGGGTCTCGATGGCAATCAGGCGCAGTCCATGCTTGTGCTCGTGCTGCTGTATATACTGACCTCGAGCATTCGATAGATCGTCACAAATTTCTCCTCAGGCTCTCCAGAGGAAAAGTCAAAGTTCCTCGCGTTGGTGTATCGAATGATCGGATTATCGCTGCTCAAAGCAACGCGCCAATGCAACGGAGATACCTGGTGAACAAGGGATGCAGACGGCAGATGTGCCCAGCACACTAAACTCGGGGAGTGGCGCAGCGTCGGTAGTGCTGGACAATGCAGTGACCAGATATGGCTGCAATAGCCAGAGCCTACCTCCTGAACTTTCTGAGGACGCCCTGGAGAGTCGAGATATCTCTGTTGGAGCTGATGGCAAATCCGTTCAGCGTTCGGCCGAGGCAGGACTCGATCACCTCGCCGTATCGTGCATCTCGCAGCTTGACGAACAATCCTGACGACGCAACAATTGACAAAGCGGTGTCAACTCAGAGTAGGTGCAAGCATTTGGTAAGCAAATCGTTGTGCGGCAACAAAAGTCATGCCGGACGAGAGCAGTATTGGTGGCGAAGGCATCCGGATGTCATCGCCGGAGCACAATACCCACCGAGTGGACCAACCGGCTTGGATCCAACCCATCGACCAGCCCTGTCGAGTCGATCGATTTCTTCAAGAATCTTGGGCATGGCATTGCCATAGACGAGCACGCTGTTCTGAGTCTGTTGCTGCATCGTTTCGATGCGCTTGCGGATGTCTTCAACCTTTCGACTCAGCCCGCCTTGATCGGCGCGGGCGTCTTGTCGCTCTTGGGTGAACCGCTCGAGCTCTTGATCGATCTCATCACGCTGGGCAGCCATCTGGGTGGATTTTGAGGCGAGGTGTCCGTCAAGATAGGCCGAAGGTCGTGCTGATGCTGGAGCAATATATTGCCCACAAACGCCATTCGCCTGACGCACCGCGACGATTCAAAACTGCTGTCCGACAAAGCAATTGCCGTTTGCAACCTCTCACCTCTTCGAGCTTGGTAGTGATTTCCGACCGGCGTTCCTTCATATCCTCCAGCTCTTGCTCCCGCTCAGCGCGGTTACCGCTAGAGACATCGGCACGATGGGTGAGCGATGAGGGCGCGGAGGATGCGATACCACATCACCGCGACCAGCGCATTCACATATGCCTCCCCCTTTGTTCGATGACGAACGGCTCAGGGTCCATCCGTACCTGGCTCCCAGACGCTTCTTCTCGGCCGCGAACTTGGCTGTGATCTTGTTCTTTTCAGCCGTCAGCTTGCGGATCTCTTCCTGCACTTCTTCGTTCTGAGACAAACACTCGCGCAGCTCGTCCTTGATTTGGACGCGCTCGTTCTGCAGCTCTTGAAGGCGGCTGGTGAACACTGGTGACGACAGAGACTCGATCTTTTCCCGACAGCGCTCAATGTCCTCGTTCAGCCGCTCTAGCTCGGCCTTGTACGCATGGAAGTCGAAGATAAATTAGAGAGTTTATCGGCCAAAGTGCAGGCTGCCGCTTGCAGCCCCTGGTGGTCGTTGGAGTGTGACAGTGGGCGGGGGAGCGATAGATTCCGATCGGAGGCGACGACGCGAGAGCAATGCTGCAGCACACAACACGCAATAATCCTGTCTGTTGTTACTTACATTGTTCTGACTGACGTGCTCTTCTCGTCGGTTGATCTTACGCTGTCGCGATTCGATAGCGTCGTGCTGCTTCTTCAAAGCCTGTGGTAGCGAGCGGTCAGCTGCATCGTCTGACACCACAACGTCATACTACCCTCTTGGACAAAGGGCAGTGTTCACGCACCGACATATGTCGGTGTATGCGTGCGTACCTGCTCTTGATCGACAATGGTCGCCCAGATCAGCTCGTTCTTCAAGGAGTGGATGGTGTCCTGGTAGTCCTCCATTTGCTCAAGATCCTGTCGGAGAGTCATGGTCAACCACACCGCTGCGTACTGGGCCCCGTGGCACCAATATGCCTGCTGCAACAGATGAGGATAAAGCAATGATCCCACCTTCATCCGCTCCTTGAGTTTTACGATGTCATCCTTGAGCTCAAGGATTCTCTGTCGAAGATAAGTTGACGATGGTGAGCACAGCATCCCCGATGTTGCTGTTGGATTCGGCTTGTGCATGCACAAGTCTTGATCAACAGGCCTATGTTGGCTTGTGGCCAGAGCTGATGTGTTTCTCGACAAGCAGCTGCGGGACAATATACCTTGACCTGGACCTGGGTGCTTTCGCGCATCTTTTGCAGGTTCTGCTTGATAATGCTGTAGTCATCGTGGAGCTGGCTGAGCTGTGTGCCTTTCAAGAAAGCCTGCGACAGAAACCGCATTTTTTAGTTGACGATCGTTGGTCGGGCCAAATTGTGATTCCAACGCCCGGAGAAAAAAAAGTCATAGATTGCTGGAAAGGAGGGTAAAGATGGAACTTCCCCTCTCGACCTGGAAATGGGTCGACAGTGTCCAGAATGGCGTTGGGATGTAGACGAACCTGATACTTTTCCTGAGGTGTGCTGTTGCCCAGGAACATGCGCGCTGTATCTTGCGTCAGGATGGCGAGCGGGTTCTCGACCTGAATCTGGAAGTGGTCGCAGATTGCTACGAGGTCCTCCTTCTTGGTGGAGACGAGGGTTTCTGAGACGTGGTGTGTGATGATATCAGTGTAAGTTGGGTGCTTGCATGTCGAGGCAATAAATCTTGGCTGGACGGCAGTATGGCTCAAGGCGGGAGAGGGTATGCTGCTCTGGTCTTACTGTTACTGGACATGATTTTGTAGGTGTGTGGCTTGCCGCTGTCGGCGGTGAGTCTGCGAGTGATCTCGATGAAGTCGCCATATGTGCCTGGCTCGAAAGCGTCCTCGCCAGTGTTTCGAATCCGGACAGTGATCTCAGCGGAACTGTAAGGAGGGGCAGAGCCAAGGGCGGCAATGCAACAGATGGCGTCGATTACGAGCTGTCTCATCACTTCCAAGAATGGATCTGTGCGCCTCGATCGTTTGATCCGGATATGCTGTGGGCAACCAGATTCTGTGGTACCTCTCTCCTTCCTTGATGAAATTCTTCAGATTCTGGCCACGATTGGTGAAACTCGCCTTGCCTCCAAGGCAGATCATCAGGCCGGTGAGGATGGCGCTCTTTCCACCTTCAGGAGGCGAAGCACAGCGAGTCGAATCAGATCCGAGGCTCAAGTAATGCGGTTCTGTGGCGATGTGCTGGTGCGAAGAGGACCAAGGCCTGTCCAAATCATACGGGGTGTGGTCTGGCGGCTGGACACTCACTGCCGTTGTGGCCGATGACAAAGTTGATCTTTGGGTTGAAGTCCACAACCAGATATTTGTGGCACATGAAGTTGACCAGCTCGATGCGCTCGACGGTGCCACAGTAGCTCTCATCGTCCTGCGTTGGTTGCAAGGAAGAATGACGACGCCGTTTGACACGGGTGGTCATGATCCGCGGCAGTGTCAATTGGACGGATCAAGCATCGGTATACCGATAGAGGGGGAGGCATGCAAATATCGTTCAAAGATTGAAGATCGCCGTGGATCACAGGCAGCGGTGCGGGCTGCTGCAGCCTTGTCCATCCTTCAGCGGCACTCGCTTGGGGACGAGATTCCAAGGATCTACGATGGCCCTCGCCGATGCGATAGCAACAGAATCCGCACCTCGCAGTGCTTCTTGGACGACCGGAAGTGGCCGGCATCTTCGGACTTGCGCTTTCGGGATCCAGAGAGGATGTCGGTCTGCGAGTCTGAAACGGGATTGTTCTGCGAAGCATCCTCCTCGTCAACAAGGGCCGAGGCAGCGAGTCGCAGATCGGGAGGATCGACCAGTGGCTGTTGGGACATTGGAGGAGGAGAAGACAGCGGGCTCTGCTGCGAGCGGGGCGACAGGAGCCGCTGCTTCCTTGAGTTTTGTCGTGCGAGATCCTCTTTCATTTGGTGACGGCAGCAGCAGCAGCAACAGCAGCAGCAGCAACAGGATGAGCAGGAGGACGGTGCTGGCTGGTCCAGAAAGCCGCCGTTGGACTCTGAGGCTTGTGCGGAGCACCACGTGGACGAAACAGGTGACATCGGCGTGACTGGACAACTGCGCATGCGCTGGATCGAGCCAGGCTGGGAACAATCGCACCAGATCCACAGAAGCTCAGCAGGCCAGTGAAAAGCAGAGTCCCGTTGCTTTCTGGACCAACTGTATTTGGCATCTATGAGAATCATGAATGGGCGGCGACGGCAGAAGTGGCCAGGGAAAAGGGCACCCAAGAGAGAGAGAGCCGAAACAACATTCGCTTCGACTGCTCGGAAGTGATCGATACCAGTGCAGAATAAAACGGGATCATACGATGGATAGAATAGAAACTACTGCCAGCGGCAGACAATGGCGCCTGGTGGATACTACGACGCTCGGGACAGGGGAGCAGAGGAACAGCCCATCCACGGAGGCTAGCGAATAGCGGAATAGAGGGGCGATATTAATGGCGCATGTGGTTTACAGCGGCTGGTCCTCCAAAAAGTTGAGAGGAACCACGCCCATGAGGCCGCCTTCGTTGATGCCCATGCCCCAGCCGTCCTCGTAGGTTTCGGTGACTTGAACAACTTCGCCAGGCTGTAGAGGAAGCTCATCCGGACGCTGAGGGATGCGGCCAATGCGGACACGGTGATATCGGCCAAGTGGAGGAGAGGTTGGGCGCAAGCCCTCAACGGCGGGAACCTCGCCGTAGGAGCCCGCAGGCGAAGGGAGGCCGTGGGGCGGAGGCAAAGGCGATGGAGCATACATATCGTCACCCACGTAGGCCATGTTCTGTGCCGACAGCGTTCTGGTCTGTTTGTACTGTTCAGCGTAGCGTCGGCGGTAGAGGAAGTAGGCCGATCCAGTCAAGACAATCGGGATGCAGATGGCGGCAACCACGATTCCGATGATGACGCCCGTGTGGCTTCCGGAATCGGTGGTTGTGGCCGTGCCGGTGATCGTACCGGTTGGGGTGGCAACCGGGACCGTGGCTGTGTTGGGTCTGGCGACGATCGGCTGGATCGACGGAGCCACGACGGAGGCCGGTGCAGGAATGACCTGTGTGTTCTGGGTGACTGGATTCAGGCTTGTTTGGATGACGGTGCTTTGGGCCGGATTTGTGGTTGCCGGCGGCGGGTTTGCTGCGGTTGTGGTAGTGGTGGTGGTGGTGACCGTAGTGGTTGTAGTGGTCGTGGTGGACTGAGGCTGATCAGTCGACTTTCGGGTCGGAGGCGGCGGCGGCGGCGGCGGCGGAGAAGGAGGAGGAGGCGATGGAGACGCAGAAGGAGAAGCCTGGGTTGTGGGCGCAGGCGAGTTGGTCTGCTGGGTGGTCTCTGGGGCAGCCGAGGTTGCAGCAGCGCTCGGACTGGCCGAGGAGTTGCCAGCACCAGCCAAGGCAGCAAAGTTGACAACACGGGAAGCAGATCCCTGAACAGAGAGTGGGGAGGGTGATTGGCTGCTCTGGCCCGTGCAGTCGGTAGCATCGCAGGCCTCGACGAAGTAGCTTCCGTCAGCAAAGGCCTCGTGGGTCTTGAGGTTGAAGTAGGTTATCTTTCCATTGACGATGGTCTTTGGGAACGGGGTGCTGACGAGCAGATAGTCGCGGCTGCCTGTGGCAGCGTTCTGGAAGAAAGGTCGCCGGGGAAGCATTGGTATTGGTGGGCAAGACGGCAGGATGGGTAAGGTGGCAAATACGAGCTAGGGCCACATGCTGACGGGAACATGCTCGCTTCGAGACAGGATCTGTGCCGGCGCTGGGCTGCGGACAACGAGGCCGCGAGCAATGCCAGCGGGCCAGGGCGACCTACCACTAGATAGATGGACAGCGAGCGGGCGGTGGCATCATCAAAGGCACCCGAAGTGGACCAGGTCAGAGTGAACTGCAGCGGGTCGCTTGGCGCGATGGGCGCAGGGTTGGTCTGGGTGTCAAATGCAGGGAGGTTGGCGTGAGCAGACGGCGCGAGCGAAAGTTGGCACGGACACCGGTGCAAGACAGTGCAGGGCGGCAAGGCTGCCACCCGACGGAGCATACGTTGACGGAGAGACCGAAGGAGGCGGCAGCGGCGGCCTGAGCCGACAGCACGAGCGACACGGTGCCCAGGACGGCGGTTTTCTCCCAGAGCATGTCGCAGGCAGGCGAAGATGGATGCGCAAAGAAGGCCAGAGGGCTGACGGGGATGCGGACGAGGAAAACGGCGAAGGACGGCGACGGCGCGGGGGGGGGAGCGTGGACCGATGTGAGACCGGTGTGGGACCGGTGTGAAACAGAGGGCACACGGAGCGCTGCTCCTTGTGGGGAGAGCCGCACACAGGGAATGTGGTTCTGATTACGATGTTGATGCTGATGCTGATGCTGATGCTGATGCTGATGCTGATGCTGATGCTGATGTTGATGTTGATGTTGATGTTGATGTTGATGTTGATGTTGATGTTGATGTTGATGTTGATGTTGATGTTGATGTTGATGTTGATGTTGATGTTGATGCTGATGTTGATTATGATGACCGCTGTCGATGATGCTCATTGGTGTGATGTTGGCTGTTGCGGACCGTCGCATTGTCGCTGTTGCGCTGTGTGGGGCCTTGCGCCTCCCTTAATTCTTCAGCAGCCTACATGTGGTCGGACAGCAGTCTCAGTGGCGCGGTGCCCCAGACAAGGCGCCGTCGTAGTGACACAGCAGGACGTGTGTGGCGACGCTGGATTGTGTCACTGCCGGTGGCAGGACTCGGACAGACCCGGAACGGCTCGGACAGATGCGGGACAGGCACAACAACAGCGCGTGTGTGCGCAGCGGGCTCGACAGCCTGTGTCACTTTGGTCGCGCACACGGTGCGCCTGTGCGCGTCTTGGACAGGTCCAGAAAGGCAGACGCGGCTGCTGCGCACTGACAGAAATAGCTGGGCGCGCGGTGACGCGGCTCTGTGCGTGTCTTTTTTTGGGCACGGCGGTACCGCAACAGCCCCGACTGTGTGCACAATCAAGCTCACATCCATCAACAGCACAGTGCTCCCCTGTGCACAACGCCGCGCCAACGGCACAGTCCACAATAGCGCGGCCTCCTTTGCCCCTTGGCCTTCGCCCAAACAGCTCCTTTCTTTCTCGACCCTCGTCCGTGTTGCTCTTCCTCTTCTTTCGCCATCGGCCCGCTCGAGGCATCCCAACCGATCTCCTGTCGCCCGTCCCCTCGCCTGCTCGGTCGCATCCGCTGCATCCACTCTCTGCCTGCATCTGAAATGGCTGCCGCTCAGCAACAGCAAGTCCCATGGGCCAACGCCCTGCAGCAGGCCTTCAGGGCCAATTTCCCCAACGCGGCCCAGTCCGGATTATCCACCGTTAATCCGTTCTCCAGCTCGAGCCAGACCCCGCCCGATCCCGGTAGGCTACGCTCGGCTTCGCTGGGTCCTTGCCCACCCTCCTATTGGCCGCAATCGGTACTTTCGCGCGGCCTGTTGGCACCGGCTCTCCCGCAGGCGCCATCGGCAATTTGCAGGGCTTTGGTCTGTCCTGCTTGCCCACCGCTCTGCTGACAACGCTGCTAACAACTCTGCTCCTCCGTCGCCGATCGTGCCGTCAGTCGTCGTCCAACTTGCCTCGGTCAAGTCTAATGGCACCCCAAAGATCCAGCCGCTGGTCTTCCAGGACTTTTTGGCCGCTGATCCCCGCATCCTTGTGTTCTCGGCCGCAACCAGCAACCCCGAGCTCATGAGTGTCGTCAAATCCGGCCAATCCCACGAGATTTACTGGTACGTCGAGACCCAGCCGCTGGCGGCGTAGCCTGTATCCCAGCGCGCAGACGGGTTGCCTGATGTACTTTGCCCTGCGCTGGCTTGATACACCGTCCTTCCGCCTGCTGGCGAGACCAGCCAGGCAATCGTCTCACACCCATTCCATCGCCACCCCTTCAGGTCCATGCCCAAGACCAAGGAGACCTTTGTCCTCTCCTCCTCCAGCCGTCTCTACATTGTCTGTGCCTCCACCCTGTCGGGCCGATTCGGCTCGGCTCCCAGAAAGGTCATCGTCGGCGACGAGGGCTCGCAGGCGGCCCTCAATCCGGAAGAGTTCTGGGAAACCGAGCGCATTCGCTTGTGGCACAAGATTTCCCCATTCTATCGGGCCTCCTTCACCTGGCCGAGCTCGGGCGAGGTCAGGACCCCGAATCCCAACGAGTCGTGGTCCGTCTATCGCGACCAGAACCAAATCAAGGTGTCGTCGCCCGTGTCGCTTGGAACCGGTTTCCGATACACCCGTCTGGACGTTGTCGGTAGCGAGTTCAACGGACAGACCCCGCCACTGTCTCCCAGCTTGCTCGCCAAGTTCCAGAACGCCACCATCAACAACCACTCGACTCTGGAGCGCCGAGCCAAGATGACAAAGGAGGAGGAGGACCAGTGTGTGCACAACGCTGCTTTTGACAACTTTTGCCTCATCATCTTCAAGGTCACCCGTGTCGACCACACGGCCTGCGCTTCGAACAACTCCGGTCCCCCAACCCGTACCGTTTACACCTGCACAAAGGAGGGCTCCTGGGTTATTGACGACGTCAACCCTTAAGCGGCATACCCAGAGGTGGCCGGGCGCTACAAGCGCGTCTGCGAGCAGCGTCCCAGATACTCGCCTGTTATCAAGGAGGAGTGCCCTGGCCATCAATGCCTGTGCGAAATGGAAGGAGACACCCGATTCTGAGGCCAGTGGTCATTTTTTTGGCTGTTGAATACATACATACATACTCATTCATCACATCGGCGGCACGCTACCCTGCAGCGGTGCCAAAGTTGATGCTTCCCGGGCATGATCGTGCAGCACGAGGCCCTCAGCGCATCGGCGTGGATGCGGCACTGCTTCTGATCAAACATTATGGCCAGACCGAGTATGCTTCTGCTTCCAAGGGAAACAGGTATTGCCTTGATTTCCTCTTTCTCTCTTTCCTCTCCTTACCGAGAGACCTGAAGCCTGTCCTGAACCCATACCCACCGTGATGGTTCGTGATTGCAGCCACCAGACTGTCTGCCTGTCTGCCTGCCCTCGCCCGTGTTGCTTGGACAACCCCTGCCATCGCCATTCGCGATGTGGTCAATCAACCACCGTGTTTTGGACCGATAGACAGGTGTCCAGGAACAACATCCGAATCGTGAAAGTAAGGAAAAAATGTACCCGGTTTCGTTGTCAAGAATGCACCCTCAACACTCCCCGATCGTGTTCCCGGCGACGCCGCTGTCCGTCACTCGTTCAGACTGCTTGATTCGGTCGAGCGGCCGTCCTTGTCCGAGCCGTGAACATGGCACATAAATCGCCTTCGTGCCTGCTCGTAGAGCTCAAAAAACTGATTGAGATGTGCCCGCTTTTCAAACTCGATTTCGTACGAAAATACCCCACTGCGGATCAGCAGAGTCGCTTTGGGAATCGCCGTCGCCGTCGCCGTCGCCGCCACCTGCTTGAGCGGTACCAGGAACGAGCTTGAGACCTGCGCGGATGTCGTGGGCAAAGGCTCGTTCGAGAAGTTGGAGGTGCTCTTGCGAATCTGGCCTCCTTTGACAATGTCGCAGCTCGACAGCTTCACTATTGCAGGCTCCTGAACCGAGATCTCCTGGACGTCGGCCATCACCAGCCGGTCAACCTCTGGGAAGACAAAGAGAAGATATCGCGTGGCCTCGATGCCGGTCGAGTTCAACAGCCGCAGTCGTGTATCGAACGTGTGTACTTCAGACAGCTGAATGTTGTCTTGAGGCGCTTCGAACTTGAGATCTGGCACGGCCGTTCCGGTGTACCCGGCTTCAAATTCGCTGCCGGTCGTGGTCTGCAACATGATCAAAGCCAGTCGCTTGGCATATAGAGCCACGGGCACGCCAAACGACGCCAGTCCCATTAGTACGGCGACAACGACGTTGCGAGTGATTGTGATCGTCCGGGAGTTGGGCAACACCAACAGCTCGTAGACGACAAGCGTTCCGAGCAGCAGAGCCACCATAACAACGATCACGCTTCTCCAGGTCTCGCTTGACTCTTTGAGCTTCTTCCGGGTCGTGCGGGTGAGAGTGGCCATGATCATGCACGCCAGGATCAATAGCACGGCCAACGTATAGATGATAGCCAGGTATGCATCGAACGGGTTTACATATCCACAGTCCAGGAAACTCTCCGAATCCACGATCAATAGTACGGCCGTCGGTCGATTGGCTTGTCGCCATATCATGCCCAGGATGAATTGTGCCACGACAGCAATCATTGCAAGTGCGATCAGGGTGGTGTCCGAGTGTATGAAAGAACTGCCCTGGCTGGCGTCAAATATGTACACCAGCCGAATCGACTTCCAGAAAATGACGCTGAGAGCGCACGCAATGAGACACATTAAATGAGGTCCATATGACGAGATCCACAGAATGCGCCCACAAAATCATGATCATTGGATTGTCTCAGCCGCTCCCTAGTCCATCGTATCCTCGCCAATGAGGGTAGCATTGGGGCCATGTCCGCCACAGGATCGAGGGCATGAGGACTACAAGCGGCGGCTGGAGGCTTGGGATCAAAGAAACAGACAAAACAAAACTCGGAAGCGCATACCTGAATACAAGCGTGAAGCTCATTGCCGGAAGCATCACTCTTGTCGTGCATAGTGTTGTGGTTGGAGCCAGCAGATACATGAGCGCCGCGAACTGGCCACCAACTTGAGACAAGGCCGAAAGGTGGAGCCCATTAATGACGATAATAGTTGGATATCGGTGTGAACGAGCTGCGATCTTCCGGTAGCGGCTCGGTCCGTGGCGGCACCGATGGTGCATGACCCAGTATCTCTGTCAAGGACATAGCTCCACGACTGGCAATCTCCGCAACTGGCGACCTCCTCTGCCAGCAGCGCCGCTCATAATCTCAAAACGAAGCTCCTTCAGCAGATCGTCCCATCGAAAATATCACAGATGAGAGCCGAGCGACCATGCAACTGTCGGCCATCAAGTAAGCACTGCGCAAGCTGGACACACAAACTTACAGCAGCCAACCATGATCACTGTACAGCACATCCAGCTGATGCTCTTGATGATTTCATGGTGTCGATACCATAGTATGCCGAGCAGAATCGCAGCATTTGCCGCCATCAGTAGCACAATGGCAGAGAGTGCCATCATCCGGACGGCCATTCTGCTGCCAGGCTCGATCTGCAGTGGTGCGGCAACCTCGGAGCAATCCTGGGAGTTAACGTTGAGGTATCCGACCGAGCACACACATGCGTTGATACTGGGATCCATGAAGGGCCCAAATAAACAAACGCCGTGGCTGCACGAATCAAGCTTGGTAAGCAAAAGTCCGTCAAAGGAAGGATTGCAGGCCGATGTGTTGGAGTAGAGCGGCAGACCATTGTACGAAAGCGTTTGCAGAACCGAAAACGAGTAATGTCGCAAGCTTGGGGGCAGTGGTAGGAACAAGTTGTCGACACAGGTAGCCTAGAGACAACAAAGACGGTGAGAGAGGGTACGTGCAGCCGAGGTTACCGTCGCGGTTTCGACAGAGCACATTGTCCTTCCAGTATTTTCAGATATTCGCCTCATATCAAGTGTCACTGAATGACAGGCATCAAATTGGTAGTGCTGGCAGCAGACCAGCAGACCAGCAGACCAGCAGACCAGCAGACCAGCAGACCAGCAGACCAGCAGTCAAGAAAGCCGAGTGTTCGGGTCGCGATATCACCATCCAGCCTTCGAACAGCTACGAAAATCACAAGCAACCGGGGCACTCACAATTGCGGAGCTGTTGGAGAGTGTCCACCACAGGTAGTTGAGAGTGAATCGCACTTGATCTTGAGTAAGAGCGGTGTACAGGTTGGTGCGTACAATGTAATAGCTTGCGGCCATGAGCGGATAAGCACCCGAGCGGCTCGAGTCGATCAGCACCGAGTCCAAATAGCGCTCAATGTCGTTGGTGTACATGTTGAGTCCAGAAGGCACCGCAATATTGTCAACCTCGAGCTAGAAGCAAAGCACACAGCCAAATAGCATAGCAGAAGTAGTGGAATGGTCAGAGAAACCGATGATCTTGTCGCAAGCGAGTGGCTCAGATGCTCAGCGCTCACGGAACAACGTAATTCGCTATATTCGCTGCCCTACATTCATGTTGGTCATATTCAGACTGGTCACCACACCGCTTCGGTTGATGATCGACGCCAAGGAGAACGACAAGGCCGATCCATAGGTTTCGATGGTAGTGAAAGCATCGGAGGCATCCAAATATCCTATTGTAAATGGTACGCTTTGGATAACGCTGCAAAGAGCCATGTTGGTTGGTGACATGATCGGCTGGGGCCCGGTCGCGACTCCGTTCTGCCAATTGGTGAGCGGGAACGTTGTCGAGACAGATCCAAACGAGCTATTGAAGGAAGCGAGCGACTTGAGGAGGTTGCGTGTTGTGCCGGATGTCCCCGAGTGGATGACGACCTGGATGCTGGCTGAGATGGCTGAAAGCCATGGATTCAGAGCAGTCAACCGACTGTCGTTCCATCGGCTGAGCGAGCCGCTGAAGATGTCGACCATATTCTGTCTCGAAAGCACCATGCTTGGATAGCTGGAATTGCCCAAGTTGTAGGCCACTGCGATTGCTCTGTATTGTCGAGGGCCGAAAGCGGCGCGGAAAATAGATATCATGGAGGATCAGATAGCTACCAACAGATTATGCATGGATACACACCTCGAACCTGGCGGCGAGCATTCATCTGCGTTCATCCTAAGATCCAACAGCTGCCAAGGAACTCACCCAACCACGGACGGAATGCCAACCAGTCCCGAGGAAGTGGTGTTTGGTCCGTACGTTCCAGCATGCGTTGGGATGGTGTCCGATCCGGCAAAGGCAAATGTTGGGTCGGAAATCAGCGACTGGACTCCGATACCGGATGAAGTTGGGGAGTAGATCATCGCCGTTCCATTGTACGAGAACTGGGTCGTCCAGTTCTGGTACACCACCGACGGGAACGTTGCCCCACCCGAGCTGAGGACGTTTGCATCGATAATGCCTTGTATGGGCCGGAAGCAGGAGAAGCGTCGATATCATAATCGAGCGCGATAGCGATTGCGATGGCAGATCCAGCCAAAGAGTGATAGAAAGTAGCAAGGGCGTCAGCATCGCAAACGGAGCCGCATCCCCATGTCCAAAACATATACTTCTGTATTAACCCTGTCCACAGGACAGGCGATCTGCTCGATAGCGACGGCCATACCAGCCCAAACAAGCGCAGCTAGTAAGAGCCAAGCAAGTTTCGACATGGGTTCAAATTCAGCTTGATGATAACAACAGCCCTGGCGACGTCGAATAATGCGTGGGAATCGCTGGTGCAAGTGACCGGCAAGCCCGCTGCAGCATATATATACTCATTTCGACCATTGGAAGGTGGCAGATTTGCCAACGGATAGCGAGTGGAGAAACGTGCTCTCCAGGCAGGGTATCGTGCGGTTCAAAATCCGTCCCTGCCGAAGATGGACACCCAATCCATCTCGACCGCATTCACTCGTCGATTGGACGAACTATATGCATCGATGATGTCACCTCTGACCGTCCATGCCCTATTATATCGATGAACAATAGTCGATTTGTGTCCACGACCGTCTGGCTCCGATCTGGCATGGTTGTTCGGGAGTCCAATGGCACCGGCGCCCCATGGCCACGATGTTTCAGGCGGGGAACAATTCAACCCGATCGATACTTTACGAGTATCGCCAGAAGACGAGGTTGGTTGCGAATGTGTGTATTCAAGCAGATCGAGCCAATGGCAGAGGGACAGGGACGGCAGAGACAGCCCATGGCAATCAATGACAATGGCATCGCACAGGAGGCCGGGAACAGCGGGGTCGGGATCGCATCGCCGCCAGAGGCGACAGATCCAGGACCAACGCCGGCCAATAAATAAGGAGAACAAACACGCATGAAACATCGAGAACATGATGGAGCATAGCGGGGATATAGCGGGAACATAGCGGGAACATAGCGGGGATATAGAGGCGCACGCAGGAAGCGGAGGGAGCAGGTGGGCGACGGGTTGCGGCTGGGAGAGAACGAGGCGCAGCAACGAGGCCAGACGGGACAGAGTGCAGCAGCGAGACAAGAGAGACTGGGTCACGCAGTTGCAGACGGTGGTGGAGAAGGTGCTGGAGACGGTGCGGGGACGGTGCTCGCTCAGGCAGCAATCGGGATGCTGCTGCTGCTGCCTTCCATCGGGACGGCAGTCTTGGCGATGGAGTGAGGCAGAACCAGCACGGGACACGGGGATCGCTGTGAGACATATCCGGTGATGCTGCCTGCAGATTGTGGGAGACGAGACGGGTGGTTGGGGTGGCGGTTGGGATGTGCGGGCAATGGAAGCAGACACAGTGAGTGGGTGGTTGTGGGAGTGGTTGTGGGTGGATGTGGGAGTGGGTGGCCGACATTGGCCAGTCTCGGCATTGCTCTGATGCGATCCTGGAGTCGCCGATCGAGAGAAACCACACTGCACCGCATCAACAGGCCACACTGCACCGCAGCAGCATGGCACACCGCAAAGACAGACAGACACCACACACCAACTCACCAGTGCCAGCGAGGGGGCCATGTGGGTGGGCACCCATGACAACCAGTCGCGGAGCGCGGTCGCTGATCTCCATCATGATGTGGCCCTTGGCCTCTCCATGGATCACGTTGAGCGAGACCTTGTTTGCGACGCCGCTTGCTTGGACAATCTCCTGGACAAACTTGGTGAGGCGCTGGGTGACCTCGACGATCTCGCGGTGTTCGTATGCACATTGCATGGCAGAGACTGGAGGCAAGCAGAAACGAGCGGAAGCACAGAGGAACGGGGCAGCGTCGGGACATGCGAAGGATGTGAGTGCGACTGAAGGACTGGCCGGGTGGCCGACTGACTGGCCGACTGACTAGATGACTGACTAGATGACTGACTAGATGACTGACTAGATGACTGACTAGATGACTGACTGACTGGCTGGCCGACTGACTCGCTGATCGACAGAACAACAAGCCACACACAGCACCAACACTCCATGCACCGCCGGGACCCGCAACTTACACAGCGACGGCTTGATGATATGGAGAATCTCGACATTGTCGGTGGCCACCACGCTGTGCTTGAGTGCGTGGAGGATGACGGTTCGCGAGAGCTCAGAGATCGAGTCGATGGGGATGAGAACGAGGTTGCTGGCGGCCATTTTGAGGACAGACTGTGGTGCTGGTGCTGGTGCTGGTGCTGGTGCTGGTGCTGGTGCTGGTGCTGGTGCTGGTGCTGGTGCTGGTGCTGGTGTTGGTGCTGGTGTTGGTGGTGATAGATTGCAGATTGCAGATTGCAGACTGGATTGCACACTGTGGGCGGTGATGCTTTCGAGTCGAGGTGGTGTCGAGGCGGTGTCGATGGAGGCCGAGAGACGAGCCAGGGAGGGAGTCTATTTATATCCCTGTCTCCAGCCGGCCATGCCAGGCCGGGTCAGAGCCGCTCGCGATGCATCCACCCCCCTCATTTTTTTTTGCAGACATGGCGACTGTTGGTCGGCGGCGCTGTGGTTGGTCATGCCACGAGGGCCAGTGGCGACGGCGCGTGGCGCACCAGACAAGGGGGAACAAGCCTGCGGACGGACCTGTGACAGACCACTTTGGAAGCAGTTCGGGACCACTTCCGGCACAAACCGCTCGCCGGCTGCCATTGGCTGGAATTGGCTACACGTGGATCGTCGCCACCCTTGGCGAGGCAGCCGCAGCGAGGCAGCCGCAGCGAGGAAACCCAGGTGGATGCCGTCTGGGCAGACCTGTTCTGGCCGGGCTGGTCCTGTTCGGGTCTGTTCGGGTCTGTTCTGGGCCGGGGCTTGCCTCGGTGTGCCGTCCGGCTGCGTCGGGTGACCAGTGGAGGGGACCGCAGTCGAGTAAATCGCAGTCGCGGAGGATGATACTCGCAGATGACACTCGCAGATGACACTCGCAGATGATACTCGCAGATGCTGCCTGCAGATGACTCGATGGGACCATCAACCCTGTCCATCGACTCTGTCCATCGACTCTGTCCATCGACTCTGTCCATTGGGTTTGCCGTTTCCTGAAAGCCATCGACACTGCCACTCCCATTGCCGAGACCCAAGCGAGACCTAAGCGAGACCCAAGCGAGACCAGGACACCACACACACACACTGTGCAGCCATTGGTCACCTCATCGCCCCCGGCTTTGCCCCAACACTGGCCTTCGTCTCCATCTCCATCTCCATCTCCATCTCCATCTCCATCTCCATCTCCGTCTCCGTCCGCCCGTCTGTCCTTCTCTCGAGTCGACCCTTCCTGCCTCGGATCAGCCCACTCAATGTCGTCCAGCCATCCTCTCGTCGCCACCGGTGCCTCGTCCTCCTCGGATTATCCCATTCCATACGCTTGGGATCTTGCCAAGCGCCAGCCCACCCCGCTCCCCACTTTCATCTCAAAATTCACCATCGAGCTCGATGAGGAGCCCACCTTCAACGGCGACGAAGACTCTTGTGCCGGCACTGACCTCTGTGGGTCCATCACCCTCGATGCCTTCGAGTCCCTTCCGTTGGCCAAGCGTCTGATTGTTGTTCTCCAAGGCGTCCATCGTCTCGCCGCCGATGGAGAATCCTTCATCGCCAAGGGCTCGTCTCATTCGCTCGGTGCTCTGACCGAAGTCTCCGAGTTCTCCGACTCGTATCTGGACTCGCGGGAGGTCTGGACTGGCACTGGGCTTCCCCGTGGACCCAACTCGTTCCGCTTCTTTTTCAAGCTCCCGGGCCATCTGCCTGCCACGATTCCGGGTCTGACCGAGTATCTCGTGCGAGCCCAACTCATCGCCGATCGAGACTATGAGGTCATCCGCCCGGTCACGGTCCACCGAGTTGGCCTCGGCTCGCCCGACGGCGTCTACATCGACGCCCCTCCAGCCTGGGACGACGATGACTATATCCGTCCCCCTCCTTCCGACTGGCGACCACACACCCCCAACCCCCCTCCTCCCCCGTACGCCTGATGCTTTCGGCCGGCCCCTTGAAGCCGTCCGTCGCTATTGGAGACCCATCCCTCAGCGTTGGAATCCCAGAGCGAATCCACTCCAAGAGTTGTGCTTCCCTGCTTGTCGAGAGTAGCAGAAGCCATAACCCCCTGCTCGCGAATCTGTGGCGGACTCTTCTCTCGCTGCTTGCCTAAGATGGCATAACCCTCACAAGTGTCATTCGGTTATCGTCATCTTGCCATGCTTGCTCCTGAATATCAAAAGAAAAACTATCACCGAACATTTGTCCGACCCATATGCACCAGAGCGCACATCGTCGAGGTTTGAGCCGCTACTCCTCCCGCTGCGGTGGATCAGCCGACCCACCGAGGGGGGCAAGGCGGGAGCCATATCTCTGCCTGTCTCGCTCGGCGCGAGAGAGCGCCGAACACTGCATCGACGCTGCGATATATCCCACGCCTTCCCCCTCCGTGACAGGAGAAAGCCCATATCGCGCCGCGGAAAGGGACCAAAGAATGAACGGCTCTCGAGCGAGTGCATTCCTCATCATTGTCTTGGTTGCCCTTCTCTCGACCACAGCCAGCGCCTTTCCCGCGACCTCGGCCGCGCTTCGCAGGTCCTCCAAGAATGCGCTCCCCGCCTTTGCCGTCCGGGACGCTATCACCAACTCGACGGACGGCAATCCAGATATCGTCTCAGGCGGCATGAGCAATCCTTGGGGCTTGTCTGCTGTGTCCGTGACGGTCTACGTATTCTGTAAGTCCGCGAGCCTCTCTCCACCCATCCATCCTCCCTCACCTCTCACTTCACCGGCCCGCTGCTTGCCTGGAATAGCGAGCTCGGGCCTGGGCTGCAATCCAGGGGTGCTGTCGCCGTGGCTCTCCCGACCCTGGCAGTCCGGCTGGCAGCCCCTTGCATCAGAACGCGACGCGGCTGGCTGGTTGGCTGCACCCCTCCAGAGATGCCTCTGCTGTCGCCCCTCATGCTGATACATGGACGCCGTCGAGTCCTTCCAAGAATCGCTGCGAATGGTTGGACTGCGTCATTGTTAGTGCCGTAGACTCTGACCGCTCAAGCTCCACACCGTCCTTGTCTCTGCGTTTTCCCTGAAGCGACCCGTCCGCTGACAGCTGCCCTGGCAATCGAATCGATTCTGTTCCTGATTGCCGGCATTACCTTCTGCTTTTGGGGCCTGAGATCCAACAACCCAACGCTGTTCGTGGCCGGAAGCCTTTTCGGAGGCATGTGGCGGTTCCCATACTCAAAGCCTTTGGATGCATT